CTCTCCCTGTTACAATCTTATTTATTTTCAGTGCTTGCGAACTTTGCTTTATTGTACATTGAAAAAAAATTTATTTTAAAAATACATGTAGAAATGTTGAGTAGCTGAATGGGGTAAGAACTGATGAAAAAATATAACAGTACCAGAACATATCCAAGCATTACAGGTCAACCAGCAGTCTGTCGGTCTCGTAGGAGGCAGAGAGACTGTGAAACCGTCGCCACTGATCGCCTCTGGTTGCTGATGACGGTACAGAAAAGGCAAAGAAGATATTAAATGATTGCTCAAACGCAGGGGAGGCAGGCAAGTTACTCAATGGACGCACATGTTGTTCATAGTTCTACGGGAACAGTACATATACAAGTATGGTGTCTTCAAGGTGGCACAGGGGCGAAGGAGCATTTCTACAAAAACACGATACACTTGAGTTGGCAACCATTGAGCGCCCTGGCCCCAATTTAGTTATTTTTGTGCAGAAAAAATAGGTAAATATTTTGTACAGATGGGAGGTAGTGTATTTTATTATGTTTGGAAAAAAGATTAAGTATGAGGAACAATATAATATTAGCTCGGTCTGACTCCATCCCACAAATTCACCAAGGCTATGGAGGATCTTAAAAATAAAGCGATCAAAGTATTTTTCAAATTAAGAAATCAGCTATTTTCAGCGCCCACTAAAATTGCCATTGAATTATTTAAATCACTCCTACTTCCAATCCTTAGCTATGGGTGCTAAATTTGGGCCCCTTACTTACTATGTAATCTGACCATTGGAATTTTTTTTAATATATGCGAAAAGCCCCCTTCTGAACTCGTCCACCTAAAAACCTCTAAAACCATATTAGAGATTAGCAAAAATTATACTTATCACGCCGCACGTGGTGAGCTGGGCAGCTTCCCCATTCTAATCCAATTACTGTAACTATCCATCAAATGTTGGTGCCACCTGTACAAAATCATACACAATGGTCAGACTACTTTAGTCACTAATGCTCTGTTTGAGAACAGATCCTTATCTTCATCCGGTGTGTTTACACGGTCCTCTGGTATAAAAACTGTTCTTAACATGAACAACCTGGGAAAGATGTGGACTAATCCAGTCTCAATATCTGGTAAGATAACTCAGGCCTTATTCAAAAAGTCTACACTCTGTATATCAGGACCAGTGGGCTACATTGATGAGCAGAACGGGTAGTGGTAATAAACTAAGAACCTATGTTAAATTTAAGAAGGAATTTGTGCGTGAAAATTACACCCACCTATTCCCAAAAATATCAGAGCCAATTTCTGCAAATTACGTGTGAGCGCCCACAATCACTCTATTGAACGGGACAGGTACTGCAAGCCAAAAATCCCTGCAGAGTTGAGATTTTGTAAACTTTGTGATTCGAATAAAGTAGAAGATGAGTTCCACCTCCTTCTAGAGTGCAAAGCACATGATTCAATACGGGATCCCTTCAGAGGGCAGCTGTCAGAGTTCCTACCCCTAGGCGACCTCAGCAATAATGAACTGTTTAATTTTCTTATGAGTGCTCAAGACGTAGATATTCTTAGAACTGTTATGTGGTTTGTAAATAGATGCTTCCAACAAAGGGAACAGGCCCTCTCTTCATACCTATACATTGAACTCTTTCCTGTGTGTGTATTCAATTCATCATCTATATGTTATCATAATATATATGAAGGAACTGAAGGAACAGAATCCATATATATATATATATATATATATATATATATATATATATATATATATATATATATATATATATATATATATATATATATAAACTAATTTACTGGTATTATTATACATGTAAACATTAAAATCATGCATATTTATTCATTTACTTGTTTGTACTGTTATAGTTAGATGTACTGTCTTATTTGTGAAGGTGTATCAATAAACAAGAAGCCTATAAGACATTTTCTTTCACGCTTACTTTACTTGCTGTGATTGACATGGACACTGTGACTTTATGGGTGACACCATATTTTCGCAACTATTTGCTACCGCTATGATGTCAACATTATCATATTATTGTCACGATTTGCCACCGCTGTGATGAATGTCAAAAAGTGACCAATACGTAGAAGCACCATAAGTTTTTGAAGCATAAAATGAGGGAAAATTTATTGAAAAATTAATATTTGAACACAACAATGAAGCATAAGCAACTGAAGGAACAAAATTGAAATTATTACAAATTTTAATAAGTATTATTTTGTTTAATCTCAAGAAAGCTACCTAGAAGTTTTCATTTGCATATCAAACGTGAAAATTTTACAGCAAAAATAAGTGTGAGTTTAATTAAAATGTTTTTCAACTAATTAACACCAGCAAGATATACAATGCACAAAGGGAATTTAAATGACACAACTGTACATACAAATATTAAGATTATAAATAATAAGATCAATTTTGAAATCTTCCAGTATGGCGAGAAATGATGGACACATAAAAAAATACCAAGATGTGTTATCAATCGTGTAATCAGAATCACTACAGCAAGTAAATAAATGATCATAATCTCTGCTACAAAAACATCAACAAGAAGAACACACCGAACATTGAGGACAGTTTGCATATCTAAATTCAGCTTAGAATTGAATTTTGTATAAAGTAACCATTAAAGGGATAATAACCCTTCGTTTTGGCCAAAAAATGAATTTCCCTGGAATAAACAACAATTATCCCATACTAACCAATGGTTAATGAATCCATTTTAACATTCAAATTTAGTCCCTG